TATATATATATATACGTATACTTGTACACGCACCGATAGGAATGGTGTCCCCTGATGTTCGGTGCGCGGCGTTACACATACCGTAGCGCATACGCGCGTCTGAAAACGTGGAGAAATCAAGGAGCACGAAGGGAAAAAATAGTGGGAGGCTGCTCCGATATTTTGTCCCTAATGCAAGGCGCACGAAAGACAAAACATAATTGGACGTAATGTCGGCTCGCGGTGTCCTTTCGCTATCTCACATTTGTTACGAGTGAGATATCTTGGTGTCTCTCGCTCGTCAATATTCATAATAATACTTTTATTATGCATAAAATGTTGTAATTATGCATAAAAGTTTTTAATACTGTAAAAAATTCCTATCGGTGCGTACACAGAATATTTGAAAATTAGTGATAAGTTTTTCGCACAGGACAGAATGGACTAAACTGAGAAGAAAAGTCCTTTACCATTTTACAATTGTCGCAATGGTTAACAAGTTATTATTGTATATTAACTTATAAAAGTAGCCAAGCCTCCAACCTTCCACAAGAATTCCCCCAAAAAAGAAAAGAAAAGGATTATTATGTTCTAAGATCGTCGGATTCTGAAGCAAATGCCTCGTCCTCCCACCCCTCCTCTCCTCGAAACTCCCCGAAACGCCTCGGAAGGAAATTGGAGAAGGGGAGAAATCGCCGGCGCAACAGAGTTTATGTGGAGATATCAATAGTCTTAAAAAAGGAGAGGAGCAGTCTGCAGAGTTTAGGTGAGGAATGTTTCAGGGCAGGTTATATTATAAAACTATCAGAGGCACTGGGACAATCGATCTCAATTAACATAATGTTATGTGAGGCAAGAGAACTGCCTTTAAAACTTAGATTTAATTTCTTGAGTGAGAGATTTCTATTAAAGCGCATATCAAAAAAGAATTATTCGATCATTAACGATATAAAGCGTTTGAGAAGAATATTACTTACTGGTAAGCAATGAACACTTATACTTAAAAAAATCCCTTTCTTTTAAATTCTACAATATATCACTAACAAACACGAACTGGCGCATATGCATAGATCCTATTCCTTTCTAGCGTTTGATCTTGATTTTTCGTAAAGAATTTGTGACATGCCGCAAAGATTCTAATCCAAAGAAAATTCTAATTGCGAAATCGGAATTCAGAAATTTAGTCACACCTCCGGGATCTTGACAGATCTTCTGCTCTCACAATTTATACGGATGGATTTAGATGGATTTGTCCAAAGAGTTTTGAGAGGAGATATTTCTAAGATGAGCAGACAAAAGTCTGGATTTGTCTGTAATGAGCCAATAATTAAAGATGATATAGTTAGCATTCTGCTTAGGATACGCTGGTGATTCTAGCATGTTCTTTCTATGAAGACTGTAGTTAAGGTTGTAGTGGTTAGATCTTAGTCTGTTGATCAATACTACTCTCGCTCCTACTAAGAGGAAGTTTAAAATATTAGAGTTTCGGTGACACTGGTAAGTATAGAGTGGAATAATGCGCGCATTGCTGCGATTTAGATCTAGCCTCCGCTTGAAGGTCCGAATAGGCAGTTAAAAAGAATCCTCTTGGGCCCGAGGAATGCTTCCTTAGTCACTTTATCACTTAGCTACTTCATTCCCCAGAATATCTTTGTACGGAATCCAGGAGAGAGAGAGGGGGGGGAGGAGAGGGAGAGGGAGAGAGAGAGAGAGAGAGAGAGAGAGAGAGAGAGAGAGAGAGAGAGAGGGAGAGAGAGAGAGAGAGAGAGAGAGAGAGAGAGAGAGAGAGAGAGAGAGAGAGAATTTGATCGTTCCCTGCTAGTTGCAATAAAAGTTGTTTGATTCTATGTATAGTTACCATTGATCAGCTTAACCGAGTTGATAGCCTCCAGCACACTCCGAGAGTCAAAGAAAATTATGATTTTAAGGTAACCCGCTCTAGTGCGAGGATAAGGGCTTGTAAAAGCCTAACTTCTGCTGTGAATACCGAAGAGTTCGAGGTTAATTTGTATTTAAAGCAGTGGCTAAGCTCTGGTTAATAGAATGCCGCATTTGCGCAGATGTCCTCCGAAATTCTAAATCCATCCGTATAGATTGTGAGAGCAGAACTGTCAAGATCCCGGAGGTGTGACTAAATTTCTGAATTTCGCAATTAGAACTTTCTTCGGATTAGAATCTTTGTGGCATGTCACAAATTCTTTACGAAAAATCAAGCGTTCAAAGGAATAGGATCTGTGCATATGCGCCAGTTCGTGTTTGTTAGTGATATATTGTAGAATTTAAAAGAAAGGGATTTTTTTAAGTATGAGTGTTCTTTGCTTACCAGTAAGCAATATTCTTCTCAAACGCTTTATATCGTTAATGATCGAATAATTCTTTTTTGATGTGCACTTTAATAGAAATCTCTCACTCAAGAAATTAAATCTAAGTTTTAAAGGCAGTTCTCTTGCCTCACATAACATTATGTTAATTGAGATCGATTGTCCCAGTGCCTCTGATAGTTTTAAAATATAACCTTTCCAATTGAAGGAATTACCATGTTGGAATTACCATGCCAAACAATAGAGCAGGCGTACTCTATGACACTTCTGAATACTAATCTGTAAATAGAGAGCAAACACTTAGGATTAGGAAGCCCCACCATACAGTCGTGAGCGAGGAAATAGTATTGATAATCGCTCGTCCTTTTTGGACAAGATACTTGAAATGAAAATTACCTTTCGTTCTGCTATCCAAAATCACTCTCAGAAATCTGACTTGCTCTGTCCTTGATATGGCCTGTTATCCCATGAGCAAAATTAGTAAGAAAGACTACAACATTATCCAGAGTACTTTGCACCTTGGAGAGCTCTTTCAAGGGATTGCTACCTGCGACAAAGATGACTATATCATCTGCATATTAAAGAAATTCAGCTTCTTTCACAACGCATTCCTTGATCCTGCTCAAGGACAGAATAAAGAGTAAGGGACTAAGAATCAAGTCCTGAGGAGTGCCTTTATACTCAAAATATTTGTCATTATCTCATCTTCTGATGAAGTGTATTTACTATCCTGGCGATAATCAAATTCTCCACAAATTTCCTGATTGGAGCAGGTGCTCCGGCGTTTTTAAGTTCGTTGATTACTGCTGAAGGGTGTATTTATTATCAAACGCTCCAGTGATATTCAAAAAGGCAACAACTAGAAATTTCCCGCTGAAAGCAGCTCTAAGAATACAGTAAATGTAACTAAACTGTCGTTGCATAACTGACTAGGGTGGAATCTCATCTGTTGTGAGGAAGAAGTGATTGCGATTCTACAATATCAACCAGAGTAGTCATCAGTACATTATTTTCTCAAGTAATTTTAAAATGCATGGAAGCAAGGGGATGGGCCTAACTCCCAAGTTCTCGCTTTGGGAATAAAGGTAACTAAGGATATTTTCCACTCTTCTGGAAATCCCTTAGCTATAAAACTATTGAAAAGATTCACTAATAAACTCTTTGTATTTATATGGCAAATATGCCAGCATATTATTATTGATTCTGTCCAGGCCGATTTCTTTTTTGCAGCGGAAATTACGAGATCTAAATATTTGACAGTGATTGGTGAATCGATTTCCTCAAAAACAGTACCTGAGTTGAGATCATCTTTCCTTTTCATTTCTTCTAAACTCGTTGAGTTATCTTGAAAACAGGACGGCGGACTATCTCTCTTTAGAAGGATCAACTATATAATTTGGAAACATCAAGTTGCATCGTTTAAAGGCTCTGACCAAATTTCTGAGAATTTTGGAATCAAAGGATCCAACAAATTTTCTCCATCCTTTCCTTTTTTCTCTGTAAAGAATCTTGGAGCATTTTGGAATCAAAGGATCCAACAAATTTTCTCCATTCTTTCCTTTTTTCCCTGTAAAGAATCTTGGAGCATTTCGTCCTCGCCTTTTTAAAATTATAAAAGTTTTCAGTTGTAGGAATTTTTATTTTTTAGATTCGGGAGGGCACCCCAGGTGTCCTTCTCTGTGCGCACTTCACACAGGAGAGCCATATTAGCGGTGGCTATGGCTCAAGTCAATGATTGCCAGAGTTAGGTGGGAGAAGCAACGTGGTCGCTGATTGTTAAGAATGTAGACTTAGTGATTCTCTACTCTAATGCTAGAATCAGTTTGCCGGCGTGATCCGTGTTTGAGCAGTCCCAGGGGGTGATGGGCATTGTAATCCCCAAGAAAAATGCAGTTAATTTTTGAGTTTCTGAACCTCATGAGATCTTCATAGAATTGAGTAGGAATGTTGCAATTCGGATGACGATAGATGTTAATAATTGTGAATTTTTCGTTGTCAGAAGATACCTCCACACCAAGCATCTCCATCGAATCATCTTTCCAATTTGGTCAATAGGTCAATAGTGCTGAAAACGATTTATTATATTGTGTCTGCAGACTACTCTCATATCTGGATTAGTTATGTCCGCTCTCACGACATAGAATCCGCGCAGAGAAAATATAGAGGATCGAGAGTGGAGCGATTCTTGGATGGAAATAATGTCATAATTCTTGCAGATTGATTGCAGCTGAGGTAAAACAGTTCTATTGAACGATGCTGAATAAGCGAGGAATTCTTCTATTATTAATGAATTTTAGTGTTAATTTCTGAAGTTCTAGGAGTTGTTAAGCCCAGCATCGTCGAATAGGTTAATGAGGAAATTAAGATTGAGATTAGAATTTCTAATAAAGTTTACCCTTGATAGTATTGCGATTACTGAGTCAATAAGTGATAGCTGCTGATTATTGAACAGATTCTTGAAGCTGAATAAAAATGTTAATATCTATTCAAAAACGCTATTGACAGAGTAAAAGTTCTCATTCTTTG